TCTCTCCCCATCCCCCCCTCGTCTCCCCCTCCTACTCCTCACAGCTCCCTCCCCTCCCCCTCCCCCCACCTCCCCCTCCCACTCCTCACAGCTCTCTCCTCTTCTCCCAATGTGGAGTGCCCACACACACCTCCTGGACACCCCCCCACACACACACACACACATCCCCAACTGGGAAGAAGTTTGCTTGTCACTTCCAAAGGGGCCGAGCACACTGCCCAGAAGCCCCCTCCATGTCTAAATATTTACCCCGGCTTGTGACAGAAAATGGAGAGACCCTCTGCCCAGCCAGACAACCTTGGGGAGCTGGGCCAGCCACCCTGCCCAGATATCCTCACTGGAATCCTGACAGCCACAGTGGACCCATCGAAGTGCCCAGAACCGGGGGTCCCCAGCCATTATCATTCAGTAGCCAAAATCCACCCTGGTGAGAAGTTCTCCCGACATTCAGCAACCCGTAATGACTTGTCAGTTCCTTGCCCTGCCATTTTCTGTCCAATTAATTCTTTTATTGTGCACCGGATAAAGAAAGACAAAAGCTCCCAGCAAGAATGATTCATTAAGATGCAGTGCCTCCCAGAGCACTTGGCCCTACACCAGAGGCCCCTCTGTCTGCCGGCCCTGCGCCCTTAACCCTTTGTGGGGTTCCTGAGACAGGCAATGCTGCTGGAACTTTGTGGAGACGACAAGGGGGACTTGAACAGCCACCAGCCTTGTTCCTGGAGAGAACCAGGCAGACCCCATTAGGGGTCCGGGAGAAGCCTCATGCTCTTCCCTAGGGTTGCCTCCATTGAACTTCTAGACATGCCCTGGACCAGGCAGCTTCAGGATGACCTTTCCCACCCCCAGCCCCAATAGACAGACAGAAAGTTGCCCATCATGTACTGAGGCTACACTGAGCCTGTCTCAGTTAATCCTCAGGGCAATTCCATGGGGCTACAGGGGAAACTAAGGCACAAAGAAATAAACTAACTCACTAGTCAGTGCAGAGTATGCACCCCCCCACACACACTTGTTCCTCCCTCAAATGGGGGACTACAAGTGTGCCCACTGTAGCAGGAGGGTCTCAGGTAGGCATGGGACAGGAAGGCATGAAGCCCCCGGCATCTGAAAGCTTCTAAAGGGCTGGGTTCTCTTTTCTGAAACTTACAGTTAACACACAGCGGATCCACCCCTGAAAGCTGATGTCATCGAAGGCAGGAGATCCCGACAGGCCAGGCCGGGAAGGGACCTCACCAGTGCCCAGGCAAAGCAGATGGATCAGAAAAGCCAATTCCCTGTTTCTTTCTGAGCTGGGTGTCTGCTCAACCCTGTTCTGAGGAGCAAATGAAAACGGGGAGCATCCCCCAGTCAGCTAGTGAGACGCTTAGGCCAGCATTGGTGGGTTTAAAGGGAGGCGGGGGCCCCAATGGCTTAGTAATGACTTTGTTCCCTGGATGTACCCCTTCTTCTCCCAGCTTCCCCTGTATTCAAGGAGGCAGAGACCCCAAGCCTCCAGGGCCTGGCGGTGGGCTCAGTCTTGATTCCAGAGGACGCTCTGAGAGGGACAGAGGGTGGACAGAAGACCGTCCAGCTCTGGGTCCTTCCCTAGCCACCTCCATGCTGGGGCCCAGTGACTGTCCCTCACATCCACTCTCCTATGACCAAATTACAAGCTCACTTCTCAAGACAGTGCCCTTTGGAGACCGAGGGCTTGTTTTGCCCCACATGGGATATCTGATGACCAACCCTGATCTAGGGCACAGGCAGGAAAAGCCATGAAACCCTGCCTGCCTGGCTCTTCCTGAAAGTCAATAGAGGGGACAGTGGGACCACCTGGGCAAGACCTGAGGTCCCAAGTACTGAGCATTAGCCTAGGCACTCACCAGTGGCCAGTGGCCAGTGGCTAGGCAGCATATGTGGGTGCTGTCGTTGCTCAGTGTCCACCCCATCATGGCCTGCCAGTCACGAGCCTTGATTTTCCACTACAGGAACCCTGTCTTCTGAGCCTGGCAGGGAGGAGGGTGGAAGTCCCCAGGGGGACTTAGTCTGGGAAGACTGTGGAGGGGGATGGGGACAAGCAGCAAAAGAAACTGAGGCTCAGGTCCAGGGCTGGTCCACGAAGCTGAAGCTATGTCGTCATGGAGGTTAGCTGTGTCCCAGGGATGCTTGGCTGTCACAAGAAAGGTTTTGGTGGGCTCTCTAGAGAGGGGCAGGGAAGGGCCCAGGAGAAAGAAGAGACGGTCTCTTTCTTGGTGTCCTTCAGTCCAGTCCAGGTGAGGACTTGGGAAGGCCCAGGGCCATCTCACTCCCTGAAATTTCAAATATGGGAAGAGGCACAACGACTAGCCTTGTCCAGGTCCAAGACTGTTTCCTCCAGTGCAGGCAGGAGGGAGTCCTGTGGGCAGCAGGAAGAACCCGGACCCCCAGGAGTTAACTATGGGAGCCCAGCCAAACACTGCCTGCCTGCCGGGGCCTCTGGGTCCTTGGGAACCTGGCATGGCCACGGCAAACAGGCACTGCAGAAGGGTAGCGAGCTGGCCTTGGCCAGCCCAGCAGCAAGGGTTCAATGCCCAGGACCATATGGGCCTGGCCAGCCCCTGCCTCGGCGTGGCACTGGGAGGCTCCATGCAGGCGGTGACGGCCCTGTGCCCAGCTTTCTACAGCTCCATCCACAGAGTCATGGCTGCTGAGGCTTGGCACAGCCCCGCTTCACCGACACTGGCAAATCTGGGCAGCTCTCATCAAACTCAGATCCTGGCAGCCTGGACCAGGCTCCCCAAGGGGTGAGGGGCAGGACCTGGGGGTCAGCCACACAGGCGCTGGCGGGAGAGGAGCAGAGAGGGTACCCCTCCACACAGCCAGCTCACTAGATCACACGGACACCACCCTGCGCCTTCACACACCTGAGGGAATGTGACTCTCCTCCCATCCTTGACTGAGGAACCGAGGGAAGCCCCCCCGAGTGCACCCCCTCAGCCTGGTGGGGGGACGAAGCCACCTCCCTACAACCATTTTCTCCCTAGAAACGCTTTCTGCCAAGCAAACAATACTACTGGGTTCCTGCAGGGCTTTCAAGCGGCTCCCAGCTGGCTGGCTGCCAGGACCAGAAAATGCCGCCAGCTTCCCCGCACGGCACTGCCACCCAGAAACCAGCTCCGGGCCTGCCTAGGAGGAAATGGCCTGAACCAATTCCATCTGGACCCCCTTCGCTATTGAAGAGCCCCCCCGCCGCCCCCACCCAGGAAGGAGGACTCGTCTCCCCGCATCCCAGAGCGTCTGCGATGGAATAGGTAAAAACCAGTACCGTTGGCCAAACTGTCTGGTCACCTTCCCCGAGGCCAGGGAGTGGTCCCCTGCTTGGTGGTGACCTGGCACTGCAATGACCACATATTCCCAAGAAGTTTGAACACCCTTTTCGCCAGCTCAGGGGAGAGTTTAGGGTTAAACCAGAAAGTTGTAAGACCCCTTGGCAGTCATAGCAACCCTTCCAAGCAGTGGGACCCCAGGCCACTCATCCTAAGGATGCACAAAATGCACAAAACACAGCCTCTGTAGATAAAAAGCATTTTCTTTTTAATTTTATCAAATCCATCTGTACAAAAGTTAGCGTTACTTGGTCAGGGAGTAACAGGACACAGCAGGTGAGTGACAGCTAGTCGCCCCAAACTGGACACAGAAAAATAGATTGCGTAAAAATGAGTCTGCCGAAGTTCCCCGCCTCCCCCCCCCCCCCCCCCCCCCCCCCCAAAGAAAGAGCGATGCGGAAACAACAACAACAAAAGTGTGTGTGTGGGGGGGGGGGTTCTTTTTTTCTTTTTTTTTTTTTTTTTTTAGAAAAAGGTAGGAAAGAGTAGAAAAGGTAGGAAAGAGTAGAAAAGGTAGGAAAGCGTAGAAGCAACATCTCTGGTGTATTTAAATTTACAAAGTTTTCAAGGCACAGTTTTCTGTGAAGTAAAGGCGTTTTCATATGCTCTGCATACGTGGAAGCGGACAGGTCAATCAGGGATTATTCATCTAAAACTAAGGAGCTAAAAACGTTTAGTGGAGAATGTTTTAATTTCACAGCTTGGTAGGTGATGCGTGGTTCCTAAGAGCCAAAAGAATAGATCTCCAGCCACCCCTTCCCAGAAAATTCCAGTCTTGTACCGCTTGGCAGAGGAGTAGGTAGACAGGGGTCACAGCTGGGTACCGTCCATCATCTCAGAGTCTGACGTAACCCTGGGTTTTAGGGGTTACAACTTGGCCATAGAAGACAAACCCCTTCTCCTCTCTTGGGTTTCCGGCCCCTGAGCTCGAGGTGAGAGCTACCCAGAGATGAAAATGCAGACCCCCATCTCCTCTCTGCTAAGCTTTCCTGGCTTCAATTCTGTATTCAAAAAAAATCTACTCTTTGCACAAACAACATCATTAATTAAAGATAAAATAATACAGAACATAAATACATTTTTAACAGCGTTCAAAACGAACCAAACACTTTTAAGCTTCCAAAAATAAAAAGAGGGCATTTCTCAGAGTCAAACGTTACTCAGAAGAGGTATGGTTACTAGGAGTACTTCGGAGCACATGGGTAGTAACCAGGGGCTGCGCGAAAGACTCGGCATTCACCAGGCAACACACCATCGCCACGGTAACATCCGATGGCCCCCGGAGACACCCCAGACCTCTGAACACAGCCAGCAGGACACCTGTGTCCCGAATGGACAAACAGACACGTCTGGCATTAGGGGTCCTCACGTGAGAGTGACCAGGCAACCATCCTTCATCTTGCAGTTACTGGTCACCGCAACGAGTGAGGGAGAAGGGAGAGAGAGCTAGCTGTCTTCCCGCGGGAGCCTGGAGATTTGGAAGCAAAGGGACATCGGTGACAAGATGGGATTTCCCGCAGACTCCAGCAGCTGCCCCCTCTACCTTTGTGATGGAGCACCTTCCACAAGGTCCCCGGGACGTTTTCTCTTTGTTGAGAAAGCATCACCCTCCCTCACCAAGCCTTTCCTCCCCTCAGCCAGAGGCTGTACCCCTCAGGGGCGGGTCAGCGTAGTGTACACAGGCTGGTCCCAGTTACTGGTGGGGCTGTGGGCAGCCGGCATGGATAGGCCATTGAGCAGGGGTGAGGCATAGGGCCGGCGGGATGAGTGGAAGTAGGGATACTGGTACAGGCCGGACGGGTAGCCAGGGTAGGAGCCGTAGTAGCCGGAGGCCTGGAGGTCAGTGTAATCACACTGCGAGCCAGCGAAGGAGCCCGCAGATACAGCAGCCGTGGATGTACTGACGCAGGCCTGGGCACTGTAGGTGGAGAAATCGGTGCGGCTGGGCGAGCTTCCGTGGGACTGGTCACTATAGTGGCTGGGACTCAGCTGCTCTGTCTTGATGTGGGGCCTCGGGGGGCCCGCCTCGGTGGGTGAGGCTGAGGGGGGCGAGGCTCCCTTGTGGGCCCACACAGGGGATGCTCCCATGCCTGCAGCCCCCACATGGGCGTAGGAGGTACCCCCGTAGGAGCCAGCCGCCACCTGGCCTGGCTCGGCAGCAATGGCCGAGTGGCCATTGAGGGGCAGGTACTGGTCGAACTCGTGGACGTCAAAGGTGTCCATGTTGCTGATGACCTCACTGCTCAGCTCCGAGATGTCCACGTTACTGAAGTCGATGTTCTGGCGGCTACCATCCATCAGGCGGCGGCCTTCCAGCCTAGGCTCCTGCTTGCCGCCACCCCCGCCTGGGTGGTGTAGGTCCGTCTTGGGGGTGGTGGGTGGGGTAGGCGGTCCATGGGTCTGTCCTGGAGAGAGAGCACGTCCAGGAATGAATGACCCTTCTGTGGGGGGTGGGTGGGGCTGGCAAGGCCGGCAGGCTGGCGGCGGCAGAGAGGGAGGCAACCCACGGCCAAGCTAACCACCGCAGGTAGAGATCAACAGCTTTTTGTCCCTATGCGTTTTGCAGGAATTTCAGCCAAGCCAGACCCAGACCCCTCCTTGCTCCTTGCCCAAGGAAACTCCATGTAGCTCCCATTCTTGAGACTAACGGGGCCTCAACACGGAGGTGGTGGTGTGGGGTGGAAAGGCAGCGGCATGGGTGAGCGCTTCTGAAATCAAGTTGTGCTACTTGAAAGATCAGTGGTTCGAACCCACCAGCCACTGCCTGCTTCTCTAAAGATTGGCAGCCTTGGAAACCCTATGGGGATCATCCCGCACTGTCCTCCAGGCGTCCTGTGAGCCCAATTCGACTGGACAGGGTGGATTTGGTGTGCTTAGTGGCTGTCAGAGTGTTGCTGGTGCAGTGGTTAAAGTGCTCAGATGCTAACCAAAAGGCTGGCAGTTTGAGCCCACCAGCTGGTCCTGGGAAGACAAAGGAGGCCGCCTGCTTCTGTAAGGATAACGGCCTTGGAAACCCTATGGGAGCAGTTCTACTTTGTCCTCCGGGGTCGCAGTGAACGGGACCACCGAGATGGCAGAGGTCTGTGTGGACACAAAGCCCTCCCCTTGTGACCTGAGTATAACAAGGCTTGTTACTAGCCACTCAGCTGACTGGGACAACACCTAGTCAGCCTGATACTGACCACCATGTGTGAAGCTAGAATTTGCAAGTGGAGAAATGGAGTGAGGGTGAGGCTGCTGGACTCGGGGGTCAGTACAGAGATGGACTGACACAGAAACCAAGCAAGATAGTAGGCCATCAGCAGTTAGAGGAGCCCCACACAGCTCTCCTTGGGTATTAGAAATCTGTGAGCAAGGTCTTGGGGGGCATTTTCAGGTGCCTGGAAAAAGACCCCTACACCCACCCACATTGACCGGCACAGCTACAATGCCTGCTGTCAAAGCATGGGAGCCCTCGGACTCACCTGTGTGGTCACCATGGTGAGTGTCCCCAAGGCCCGCATCGGACTTGTACATGGTGCTGCCGCCCGGGGGGTGTCCCAGCTCAGCCCCGGAGTCTGATTCACCCTGGCCGGTCTTCACGCTTTTCCTGCGGCGCGGCTGATACTTGTAGTCGGGGTGATCCTTCTTGTGTTGGACCCGCAACCGCTCTGCCTCCTCCACGAAGGGACGCTTCTCAGTCTCACTCAGCAGGCTGCAGGGCCCAGAGAGACGTCAGAATCGAGGTGCACCCTCACAACCATTAACACCAAAATTGGCAGCCCAACCAGGGAGCCCAGACTGGAGACACATTAAGTTCCTTCTCTCTCAGCCATCACCTGGCGTTCCTCCAGGGCCACGACTCAGCTGGAGCCACCTGGGGCTGTCCTGGCCAAGTCTGCGGACGTGTTACGGGCGGACGGGCAGTGGCAGCCCACACGTCTCCCTTCCCACCTTCCTCCTTTTACTTCCCCCTCTGAGGGTGTGTCTGTCCCTCCCTTTGGGGCTTTCTCCTAAGGCTGAGGAGAGAGAGGGTCACAACGGTCAGACCCAACTGAGAATTCCACCAGAACAAAAGTGAGGCATCCGGGACTTGGGCATGCAGCTGAACTCATTCCCAGACTTGCAGAAACATTTACAAAAGCCCCTTGCTGGGACTCAGACACACAGTGGCCCCTCAGAACCTTCCAGAAGCACACTGCTAACAGTCTTCAGGATAAGACACCTTGGGGACCTCTGGGAGTTGGGGGGGGTGGTTTGCATGATAGAAGGCAACCAGACACCTATGGTTTGGAAGAGTCTTTCGGAGGCCAGGAGCAGGAGGAGGGGAAAAAGTGCCCCAAACCCACAGACCCACTTCAAACTCTGGCGACGGTGTGGCCGATGGGGGTGAGTACTGTGACCAGTCTCTTCGCCTCCGACGCTGCCCTACTTTCCATTTCTCAGAGCAAAACAAAACCAGAGCCTGTCCATTCCAAAGTGCACGGAGCTGCGCTCCGGGAGCTCCTTCCCCTCACCCCTTCCTAGCCGGGGGGCCGAGGAGAGCTGTAGAAAGGTAGGCAGGCACCTACTGGGGGCCACTTCCTGCCTACCCAGAGAATCGGCGCAGAACCTTCCCCAGGAAGGAGACACTTCAGAGGACTGTTCAATATATTAGACTCTGCTTCCAGACCTCTCCGAAAAGAGGGACCGGTCGGCTCAAAGCTCTGAGGTCCAGGAGCTCCCTGGGCAGTGGGCTCTAGGGGCCGAGTGCACTGGGGGGCTATCTTCCTCCTAAGATGGACCTGCCCGGAGCCCTCCCGCACGCCGGTCGACTGTCCCCCCCATCCACCCACCCACGCCCGCTCCGGTCACCCGCGCCCGCGCCCTGCCGGGCCCTTACCGCCACAGCTTGCCCAGCGTCTTGCTGAGCTCGGCGTTGTGCAGGTGCGGGTACTGATCGGCCAGCTTGCGGCGCGCAGCCTGCGCCCACACCATGAAGGCGTTCATGGGTCGCTTCACGTGCGGCTTGGCCTTGAGAGCACCGCCACCGCCGCCGCGCACCGGCATGGGTACGAGACTCCAGTCATAACCCTTGAGCACCTGAGACACGGCGTCTCGGATGCAAGCTGGGAAGCGCTCATCCGCCGCCGCCTCGCCCGCGTCACCCCGGCTGCCGCCGCCCGCACCCGCCGAGCGGCCCAGGCCCTCGGAGCCAGCGGGCGACGGAGGCGTGTCGGAGTCCGAATCCTCCACGTGGGACATGGAGCTGGCGGTGCCCGCCGGGCTGCAGGGTGGCTGCGCGCGCGCCTCGCTCATGTCGAGCATCGGGGCCGCGCTGCGGTCGCTGCAGGAGCTGGAGCAGCCGCCCCTCGCCCCGAGGTAGCCGCGCGGGCCGACCTAAGTCCCCACCAGCCAGTTCCTCTGCTCCGCCGCTGCCACCGCTCGGTGAGGCTCGCAGCCCGCAACAAGTTTCTTTAAGCTGCAACCACCAGGCCCCGCCCCCCGCTCTGTTCCCCATTGGTCAGAGAGTGCTCCGCCCCCTGGAGCGGAGCCTTGGCCCCCACTCTTCAAGAAGGCGTCTCGATCCCCGCCCCGCCCGACGAGCCCCACGTGGCCAAGCCACCGCCTAGAGCGCCAGGCCGCTGGGACGAGCTGAAGCTGGGTGCTCCCCCAAGAGATCCGAGGGTGTGAGCCCTCAGGGAGTCCCCGCGGACCTTCGCACCTCCAGTGCGCCCTTCCCCAGGACGCGCGGGGAAGTGGGGCCTCAGGGTTCTTTGACACCCTGCGCGTCCTGAGCCCCGACGTCTGGCCCGCAGCCCGGAGACGCTGGGGAACAACCCTGCCAGTTTGCGGTCCGGGGAGGCTAGGCGGCTGAGTGCCAAAGCCGGTCCCCGCCCGCCGCCCAGCGCGACGTGCACAGCCACCCCGTGCGCCCCAGGCTGCGAGGCCAGGTCCCCGCCCCCACGGGTGCGAGCGTGGAAAGCGCTGGCGGGACCGCGCTGACCCCTGATGTCGAGTCTCCCGGGGCCGGACGCGGAGGCCCGGGACCTTCCTGGAGTGACCTGGGGTGTGGGGCGCCAAAGCTGCGCGGCCCTGGGTGGTCGGCGGAGGCTGCTTCGGGCCCCTGGGCTCGGGAAGAGCAAAGAGGTGGGCGCGGCGTGGGCCGACCTGGTGGAGGCGGCGGGGTCGGAGAAAGGACATTTCCCTCGAGGCGAGCGCCTGCCCGCGGCCGCCCCCGCGAGTTGGCCTACGGCCGGCCGTCAGTCCTCAAGGGCGGCTCGGATTCTTTCCACAGAGGCGCCGGGAGGCGACAACCGGCCGCGCTCGAGCTGCACATCCCCCTTCCCCCTTTGGACCGCTGACTCGAGACACGAGCGTCTAGGAGTTTGCAACCCCGGTGACTCTGCGCCAGGGCTCCTGGTTTCCCCCGGCGCGTACCACTCCAAGCTGTCGCTGACCGTGTTGCCCACCCGGTCAACAGAAGGGGCTGGTTTGTGGACAGGAATCCAAACTCGGAGGGTCGTGCTGGGGCGTCACCAATGGCTAAACGCCAAGCCGCAGTATTAGTTTCCCATGTCCACCGGGTGGAAGAGATGGACGCCCTGTTGAGGCCGTTCCCTCGCCTAGGGTCTCCAGCTCCCCTAATCCTGGGACGATAAATTCCTTAGAAATGAGAGCTTGCACGCTTAACCCGACCCTGACGGGCTGCCCAGACGCAGTGGCCTTCACAGTTGGGTTCCGGCGTTTTCCCCAACTTCCCAAAGCCAAGTATCAGACGTGCTTAGGCAGTGCCTGGAAGCTGAGGCACATGGGTTTCGAGGGGGCTGTGGGACCCCAGGGCCAGGAAGGGAAGGGGAGAGTGGGGCCCAGAGCCCTTCTAGGAACCTGCCATGGACAGCCGTCCTGGAATCCACGCTGCCCAGGGGTGAGGAAGTTGGAAGGAAAACCCTCCTCTGAGAAGGGGTATTTCTATTCCTGGAGTCCCCTGCTCACGGAGAGGGGGCACCATGAGGCTGCAGGGGTGGTGTAAATGCACCCATGGAACCAACTAGCACAGCCAAGACCCTCACAAATAAAAGCCAGGGGCCCCAAACAATCCCATCCCATTCTCCCTTGTCCTTGGGTCAGTGGAATTGCCCCCACTGGGTGGATGGGGGCAGGCCAGAGTGTTGCCCCTCTTGTGCAAAGGCAGGTGGTGTTGAGCCCGGTGAAGGGCAGAGTAGTAGAACTGTGCTCCATAGGACTCCCAATGGCTGCTTTTCCAGAAACAGCCAGCCAGGTTTTTCTTTCAAACAACCTCTGGGTGGATTTGAACCTCCAACCTTTCCGTTAGCAGGCAAGCAGGTTAGCTGTTTGCAGCACCGAGGGTTCCCTTTGTCCCATTCCTTGCTCAAGTAGGTGCCTTGCACTGGAGGGTTCGTCTGCCCATTTCAGGTCCTTCTTCTCCAGCACCTTTGGGACTCCCCAAATTAATTTGGTCCCTCATGCCTTCCAAACATCACCCCATTTCCCGACTTTGGAACTCATTTGAGTTCTCTCATGCTGCTATAGCAGACGTACCACAAGAAGATGGCTTTGAGACACAGAAGTTTATCTTTTCATGGTTTCGGGGACTAGAAGTCCAAATGCAGAGCGCCGCCGGCTCTAGGGGAGTCTTCCTCCCTTGGTCCACTCTACAGTACGGTTCTTGTCTGTTTCGCTTCTGGTTTCTGGTTCCTTAGAGATCTCCATGTATCTTGGCATCTATCTCATCCCATCTCTCCTCTACTTGCTTATTTAATCTCCTTTATATCTCAAAGATTATCTCAAAATGCCCCCTACACTAATCCTGATTTATTAACATAACAAAAATAACCCATTCCCGAATGGGATTATAACCACAGGCATAGAAACTGGGATTTATAACACACATTTTGAGGGACCAAGAGGGAGGGAGACACAGTTCAATCCAAACAACTCCAGACCCCAGCCCCATTCTGACTCTTGTTCCCTGGGCCTCTGCCCCTCACCTGGCTGCAGTCTAGTCAATATACCAAGCCCCTCTGTGTCCTGGGGCCCCCACTCCTCTGAGCCACAGCATTAGAGCTGGGAAGAGTTTTAGCCCCAATAAAGGAGGGGAGCAGGGTGTCAGGAGCCCACATTGTGGGGAGCTATGCCTTCTTGTCCTGCCTGACGTCGAGATTTAATTAGGCTCCCGGCTCCAGATGCCCACGTTTCTTTCAATCCTCCCAAAGTGCAGCCCTCAAGTCATGTTTCAAGCATGGCTGGGAAGGCAAATGGGGCTTAAGATAAACATGTCAGGAAGAAAAATCCCCTGCCTCCCCTACCACGATGGTCAATTCCAGAGACCCCTGTGAGTGCCAAAGGGAAATTAAAACACACCCTGAAACACATTGAGGAGTCTCCCAAGTGTTTATTTTTCTAACGATGACAGAAAAGAAGGTTTAATGTAGACTGTGTGTGGGTGGGTGCTCTGGCTCCTGGACCCCAGCCCTGCCGCTCTTCTCCAGCACAAGGTATGGAGCCGTTGGTGAGGATGCTGTGCCAAAGTTCTGCTGCCGAGGGTTCTAGAGACGGGACAGAAAAAAGGATCTCCTTTAGCAGACCTTGGGGACTGTTCCTAAAGAGTGATGGGGATAGAGAGCAGTCACTGCTTGTCTGAGATCCCATGCCTCCCTCATTGGGGGCTTGGAGAGCTACTGTCTTCTGTTTTGAATGCCTGACTTCCCCAGTTGTAAACATCAGTTAACATCACCTTCCTCAGGGATATGTCACACAAACAAACCTGTATTGGAAGAAGGGCAACCAGAATGCTCCTTCGAAGCAAGAATGATGAGACTTTGTCTCTCATACTTTTTTGGACATGTTGTCAGGAGAGACCAGGCCCTGGAGAAGGATATCATGCTTGGTAAAGTGGAAGGTCAGTGAAAAAGAGGAAGATGCTCAAGGCAATGGATTGGTACTGCAAGGTAATCGGTACCTGTTCCCTAAGGCAGAGGGAGAAGTCCCATCCACCCATTCACCTTCTGTCAACCTGGATAGACATTGGATCCTTGGCCAGGCTCAAAAACGAGTTCCCATCATCCCAGACAGCCACTGACGGGTTCTTAGGGGAGGTGGCTGGGCCTGGAGGCCAGCAGTTGGCAGCTCCCTCTGGGATTTCCATGAAGAGGCCCAGCCTCTGGTCCTGCAGAAGGACACTGGCAAGTTTTGCAGAAGCAGGTCTGGCCTGCGGCAGAGAATGGTGGGAGCCCAGTTCCAAAAATCACTGTCATGGCTGCAATGTGTCCCCAAAACAGACGATCTGAAGTCCTAACCTGTAGCCATGAATGTGACCTTATTTGGGAATAGAGTCTTTGAAGATGTTACCAGTTCATATGAGGATCATGTGGAGTAATCTGGATCCTCCTGATCCCATCTGAGTGGTATTCTTCTAAAAAAGGAGAGACACAGGAGACTCCATGTGAAGAAAGAGGTGGAGATTGGAGGACACCAGCAAGCTTCCAGCCCAAGTGTCTTCAGAGGAAGCTCTCTACCCTGATAACACTTCATTTAGGACTTGTCTTAGCAGATGTAGTTACCGTAACATGGGGGTATACTGGAGGAGTAGTTGGTGGTGTTCGGTGCCGTTGAGGATGTTCTGACTCATAGCCACTCTGTGTCCAACAAAAGGAAACACTGCCTGGTCCTACACCATCCTAACAATTGCTTCATGTTTGAGCCCATTGTTACTGCTACTGAGCCAATCCATTGCCTTGAGCATCTTCCTCTTTTTCACTGACCTTCCACTTTACCAAGCATGATGTCCTTCTCCAGGGCCTGGTCTCTCCTGACAACATGTCCAAAAAAGTATGAGAGACAAAGTCTCATCATTCTTGCTTCGAAGGAGCATTCTGGTTGCCCTTCTTCCAACACAGATTTGTTTGTTCTTCTAGCAGCCCATGATACTTTCAATATTCTTCACCAACACTGTCACTCAGATGCTTCAATTCTTCTATGGTCTTCTTTATTCACTGTCCAGCTTTCGCATGCATATAAGGTGATTGAAAATACCATGGCTTGAGTCAGGTGCACCTTAGTTCTCAAAGTGATGTCTTTGCTCTTCTGCAGCTGATTTGTCTAATGCAATATGGTGTTTGATTTCTTGGAGGCTGCTTCCATGAGCATTGGTTGGGGATCCAAACAAAATGAAATCTTTAACAACTTCTATCTTTTCTGTTTATCATGATGTTATTTATTGGTCCAGTTTTGAGGATTTTTCATTTTCTTCACATTGAGGTGCAATCCATACTGAAGGCTTTGACTTTCATCAGTAAGTATTTCAA